ATAAATGAGTACTTACTGCGGGTGCGGGTGGTACGACGTGGGCCAGTAGGTGTGTTCGGCTCAGTAGAAACCAATGGTGGGACATCCGGATTATCGGTGTCAGTTGGAACCGGATGCAGTGGGTTCTCTGTCTTTGCTGTTAGCTAAAGAACTCCTGTATCATCTTCACGGACTTACGACGACGGTCGTAGCGACGGATCGGGTGCCCCAGTTTGATGTAAAAAGGCTCTAGACGAACTGTATGCATTGAAGTGAGCCCAATTCGTTCTATATGTACAGAGTGTGAATACTCACCAAAATATTTGCACTCCCCCCTGCCGCAAGCGGCAACCCATTGACCTGTGACAACGCCGCTCTCAGCACAGAAGATGCGGGCTTCTGTAAAAGCATCAGGGGCCTGGATGCGAGATGCGCAGAGGCATCCAGGCCCTCGGAATTCATGCGTGAGGCGATGGTCATTGAGTTCGTCCGGAGTGACTCTCTCGCCGCGATCGTTCACAGGCCTGTAGATGTTAGTATAATCGAGTAAAGAAAATGTTCAGTACTTACCAGAACCACGGAAAGAGCTGGCGTCCTTCAAACGAAAGAATAGTGTTCTTTGTCGAACGAATCCTCCGGATCCAGGGCAATTGCCCATAGGGATCGTGGGTGTTGGAGCGCGTTGGTGAAAAGATTGGCGGGAATGACTCGTCAGACATTTGGTCACAAAGGAATGTGGGCAGTCTGGCTCACCTCAAGGCAAACATGATGTTTTTTATATCCAGTGGATGTCCTCTAGATGAAGTTCGACTTGTTATCGAGCAAGCAAGCCCGCGCTCATGGTCGACATGGTAGCTGATCGTCAGGATTTAGCAAACTCATTAGTATGGCCAGAGTTTTATTAGTACGTCAGGGACGAAAAGAACATGGCTAAGCGACGTGGGCGAGATGGGCGGAGACACTAGCATCAAGTGCAAGATCGGTGACAAGTGACAGCCACCAGTGTATTGATCTATGTTTGTATCGCACAAATATGGGACAAATATAGGACAAAGCCAGAGAGCCCCGGCCGGGTGTGGCACAGCAAGCACCTGACTGGCCGAAATAAGGACCGAATATGATTATCAAAGAGATTGATGAGATTGGGCGGCAATCGAATCCGACCAATCGACCATGGCCTCCCCAAAGACCCTGTTGTCTGTACCCACGGCAGCCATGGCGCTGGGCTCTCCATCTCCGTCGTCGTCAACGAGCATGCCCTCGTCCACGGGGAGCGCATCTTCCACAAGCAGTGCTGCCAGCTCGCCAAGTAGTTCCAACGAGACGAACAGTTCGCCTTTCTCGCAAAACGGTACCCCCGCACTCATCCTTGCCTTTCTTGCGATCGGGCTCTTCATCGGCGGCATGCTTGCCATGTTTGGCTTGCGCAGGCGCATGGCCATCCGTGGACCGCGGCGCTGGTTCACAAGCGATCCTCCCCCAGAGGCGCTATCTGCTGGGTGGGCCGTGGACCTGCCTGAGATCATCAACAGGCGCAGAAGTGCAAGGAGAAGGCAGAGAGACGTTGGGAAGAAACCAGACTTGTGGGACGTGTACGCTGCGCGCGGCAGTACCACAGGTCCGCTCTGGAGAGACATCAAGGTACGTGCGCGTGAAGCAGGGATCGTAACAATGCTGATGTATCAGTTTCTTATTCGTGTGCATAGCCAATCTCTGCGAAAATTGTCTGCAATGAGCGTGCGCAGACCCTACCTTCATCTGCCATTATGCCTCTGCCTCCTGGAGAACCGGGACTGTTCTCCCATGTATCTGTCGACCCACTTGGATTTTTTCGCCGCGGTAGATCTGCTCCGGAAGCAGCGTCCGCAACTGCCCCTCCAATCTCACGATGGATGGAGATTGCTGTCGCCGTAGCAATGCCTACTCCGCACCGTCCCTCGTCCGAGCCTTTCGACTATACCCTGGGTCTCGCCGTCATACCCTGGAACAGAGACTTAACGTTGATCGAGTTTGAAGATTGCGCTGAGCCACCTTCCTAGTCTTGTGATGTCTCATCATTTGTCGTGCGTGCTTGCTGTGTACTTCTTGCTGTTTGTAGCATATCCTATGTATTTTGGTGTACTAATCGGTGAAAGCTGTATTACGACCCGACGAAATCATGTTGTACTGATGATCTTGAGAGTTGTATGACCACGTATGCACGTGTTATTTGTATTGATGATGTACTTTATCAGGGCATTGGCTTGGAGGCACCATGTCCGTGACGTGTGGTCGAGGTTAATTGGAGTGTCCCTGACTGTCCCACTCTGTAATCATTGTCCCCTTAGCGATTGCTCAACATGGGCCGAGGAAGGGATGCAATAATGATGTCCTCTATGTTTATTCACCCTACCTCGGCATGCGGGCAGCAGGGAAGTTTCGCGGTGAGTCCGTTCCATGTAGTCAGACTCCTCAAATGGTCGTTCGCTGAAGCTGCGCAGAAACGTAATGGTATAATTGATCAGCATTGCTGCAAAACTCATCTGCACGCACTTACGACGCTTGCTTGATTCAGATTCTAACCTTGACCTGAACAGCTAAGGTGTACATCAAGACCCAAAACCAGAACCTGGACAACAGATTCTACCCCAAGATGTATACTTACGTTGTTGCTGTCATGACCAATCATCGTCGAATGTTCAGATGCAAGGTGATTTTCTACCTGTCTGCAAGGTGTCGTGAAAGCCTTCTAGAGGGGTATATCAGGCCCTTAGCGGTGAGCAAGTCCCTTCTAACCGATACCAGTAAGCGTAGTGGACTCAGCCCTCTACGCAGCATCGCTCAATGGATCATGCTGCCAACCTGACGCACCTCGACGGCCGGGTCTTCACAAGTAGCTCAATGCAGAACACAACTTTATCTCGGCGAGTGCTAGGCCAGAATTGCCAAAACGTAACGGAGAGCGTACGACGGCGGTCGCAGATCAAGTATAAGTGACTGTCTGGTACGCCCAATGGTGGATGTGCCTGGCCAGATCGACGCTGTCTGCCTCACGGTCTGTTTGTCGCGCCGCGGCTAGCGTGCACTCGATCGTCGGGCTACCTCTGACCGTGTTCCAGCTGTCTCCAACTTCAAGCAAGAGTATAACAACCCGGGAACATCAATTCCCAGCACCGCACCGCGTCCTGAAGAGCCGTCGTGCATCGTACGGCGCGCATAGTATATTATGCTAGTGAACGACCCGTTCAGAAATGGAAATGTCGAGCACAGGTGTCAGGCACACATGTCCAGACAGATTCTGCTGGCATATTTCCACTTCCTCACAGTAGAATACTATTAGCTCCTAGATGAAACCTGCCTCACTTTGCAATCGCTGAAATTTATGGCGCCTGTAGTGAACAGCTTGTCTTGGCTGCACCAGTCACCGTAGCCGCGTCCGTACGTATGCGCACGTTATGGGAAGAGGCTGTGGAAGCACCCTGCCCATCCGATCTCTGACGGAGAAGAGGCAAGACTATTTCTCTCTTGTAGCCTGCTATGTCCGTGTCGACGTCGGACAGGCATGATTGGCAGCGGCGGCCCAGTGAGGCACAGCATCTCTTGCACCCTGCAGGGGCATCCATCTGACCGTTGACGATCTGGTGCTTCTGCGACAGTCGTAGCAGTGCGATTACTGTGCCAATGATTGCTTGTAGTTTGTGACTCATGTTCGCGAAAACATTTGGTGACCCAATAGCCAGACGCCAAAACATGACTCAGAATGCGAGCGTTCACAGTAGGATGCGGGGAAAAGACGCGGGGGAACATGGGTGAACGCGCGCGATGCGATCACGTGGAGTGACGCGAGCGGTGGCGGCTGTGCGGTGGCGCGCCCACTGGCAGGCAGATTCTCCCTGCTTCCTGATTTCGCTGTGGTCACTTTCTGGAGAGGCTGCAAAGTAGTGGTATCCGTGCTTATGCTTTCAGTCACACGTATTTCTCTGTGCGCAATGCTAGTACAAGTGACTTTTGCAAAGCTGGACCCGCTCGGAATGCCTGCAGAAGCGCGCGAGACCGCCGCTTGACCGGAAATATGCAGGTATCACAGATTGACTCGCTTAGCTGCCCCTCGCGGTCAGTACAGCCTTCGGACACGATTTTGACATCGTGTAGGACCAGAAACAGCGGCTGTATTCAAGCACCGTCATACGGCGAAACGTTTGTTCGCTCTCTCACTGGGTACCCGACGTCCGTCCTGGTCGCCGTCTGCAAGCGCATGATGCGGCCAAAATACTTGACGCTACGCGTATAAAGACCGGAAAACTGACGGTTTGCCTGTTCTCCAGCACATCTATCTTCCAAGCCACAGTCTCGTCTGCTACTCTAGCTATCTCGTTCTAATATCTACTAGTCTATACTCTATCCTATACCAGCTATATTCCTGCATGATGGTGTCCTCGCTCAGAACTCATCTCACTGTCCTCGCACAGAGCGCATTTCTCTACCCTTCTGCCCCTGCTTTCAGAGTCCCCGTCATCGACCATCGAACAAATCAAATCAAATCGTGGACGGTTATTTCGTATAGCCAGTTCCAATCTGATGTCGAGCTCTTCGCAACCTATTGGTCCCGCACGCTGGCTGCAGACGGACTGGCACAGCGGTCTGTCGTGGGCCTCTGGTAAGCCCTCGAGACCAAAGCAAATGGCCTGTTCTAATGCTAGCAAACCCAGGCTCGGTGGATTGACGTACATGGATGTCCTCCACATCTACGGCATCGCAAGAGCCGGATACGTCCCACAGCTGTTCTCGCTCAAACTGCCCAACCCGGACATCATATACGAGCTGCTGCACAAAGCAAATGCGCGGGCACTGATCTACGATGCTGCATATGTTCCAGCCTTGTCCGGCTGCCATGTGCCTGTGCACGCGGCCGTCGACGTCCACGGTGTGGATCTGCGCGGGGCCCGAGTGCCTGCTATGACAGACCTGGGCACTGTGAAGAGGACAGACACGATCATGATGTTCCACACTTCTGGATCGACGTCGGGGTCGCCGAAGCTGATCCCGTGCAGCTATGGATGGCTGGATGCTATCATCACCAAAGCTGGTCAGGTCAGCAAGCCCATTAGCAGCAATCGACAGGATGTCACGGTGTTCATGTGAGCTCCCCTGATGTCTACTACTCCGAGACATGACGCTCATCCACCTTGCACAGCGGGAGCATGTGCCACATTGGGCAGACCTTCATGTTTCTTGGATCGCTGCAGCACGGGGCGTGCACCGTCCAGCCGACGGAGATCACGTTCTCCTCCTGCGAGCTGGTCGACATGATCGCGCGGTGCGGGCTGAACCGCCTGAACCAGTTCCCTGCGTTCCTCGGCGTCCACCTCCGCAACTCGCGGAAGGACCCGCAGCTGCTCGCGCGGCTGTGCGCACTCGACGAGATCCTATACTCAGGGCAGCCGATGGCTGCAGAGGACGAGGCGTGGGCGTACAAGCATGGGATGAAGATGGTGAACTTGTTCGGGAGCACGGAGTGTGGTGCGATGCTGCTCTCTACACGGGGCTCAGGCCACGCCAATCCACCGCTGCGCCCGATGGTGGGCACTAAATACGGCTTCCTCTCCATCTCCCTATCCTCCCCCTCTTCCGCTGCGACATCAGCACACACGAACGCACATGCGCAGCTGGTCGAGCTGGTGATCCTGGCAGACTCGCCCGACTGCCCCGATCCGTCACTCCGTGCGGCCGACGGGCACTACCACACAGGCGACCTGTTCGTGGAGGTGGCGCCGGGTGCGTACGTGAGCCGCGGGCGGAACGACGACTGGATCAAGAGCTCGACTGCGCTGCGGTGCGACACGAAGGCGATCGAGGACAACGTGCGGGCGACGTGCGGGGACCTGGTTGCGGAGTGCATCGTGGTGGGCAACGGGCGGCCGTCGCCGGTGGTGTTCGTCGAGGCGCTGGTCGCGATGGACGCGGAGAAGCTGCGGAGGGAGATCGTGAGGCGGACGCGGCAGTTCCACGCGCGGCGGTATGTGCACGAGCGGATCACGTCTGCGAGGATGGTGGTGGTGGTGGGGCGCGGGACGCTGCCGCGGACAGCGACGAAGGGGAACATCCGGCGTCGGGTGGTTGAGGATATGTTCAAGGTGCAGCTGGACGAGATATTTGCATCATGATGCGTTGGGTGCATTCTAATTTTCTCATGGACCATCGCACGGACAATTCAGACATGGATTCTCTCTGGGCATGGACACTTACTCTTATGGCGCATAGTACCGCGCCGCTCCACTATAATGTAATTACGAAGTATAATTATAATGATATGGAGCACTAATGGAACACTGATCGCATTGATGCAATGGGACAATCTTGATGGATGTGGTCGATCGGCTGCAATTGCGCGGAGAGTTGCTATTGATTTCGAGATCAGCCTTGATCGAATCTTGAGATGCAGGCTTGATCTCGCGCGTTCATCGACGAGCCTCCCTTGGGTACTTCCCATCACACTGCAACAAATAGTATCAATCATTCAAATATTAATATTCAACTCCCAGCTGTAATGGGCCGCACACCGCTGACATTATTCGTTCGCGTGTCGAAAACGACCTACCCCGTAAGCCTGCCACCCAATGCCTCTATGATATCATTACGCACCCGCAGTGAGTGCTCGAAGTACGCGTAGATTGCCGCTAGGTCTATGGGATGTGCTCAAATGCACCTTGGAGCTCATCTATCCATCCACCATTCATCATCCATGCTGTGGGGACGCAGAGACTTTTAGATGTCGTGTGTAGTCACTCGCGCGGTACCCCATACCAAATGTCGATCACAACAACACTTCCGCACACACAGATGGACCGAGTGAGGAGAGATAGATAGATAGGAGGAAATTGTATATACATCGCATGCCAGATGTCACCAAGACGCAAAGAGCTTTGACTGTAAGATCCCATCCCAGGCCTCAACATGCAGGGGTAACACATTGCAAGGGGTAATAGGGTAACGTGCACTGTATGTAACTGTCGTTGCTGTAGTAGTAGTATGATAATAAAGAAACCAAAGGGATGCACCCGCGTGCCCCCCAGTCGTTTTCGGGCCTGCAGTATCCTAAACCGATGCCGGAACCTCACCTCGTACAATTACCCAGGATATCCACGAACCAGTATCTCTATCGCGAATTCCCCGAGCCCGGCATGTTGATGCCCAGGCCAACCTTGCTGACGTCGCTCCCCGAGCGCACCGGGTCGGAGTCCGCGCGCTGCATCTTAGGGTGTGACGACGTGCCTTGCTGCTGCTGCTGCTGTTGCGCATCGTCCGAGAACGGGCGCGGTTTTGCCGATCCGCTGCTGTCAGGCAC